TCCAATTCACATGCCGTGCAGCCCGATCGTTTAAACGTATTTTAAAGCTATGCAATCATCGCGACGGTACAATATTGTTTTCCTCCATTGTACTTACTACTAGCTCCCCTGACCGTGCAGGGTTTAAGCAATGGGCTGCGATCCCATAGTCGGGGGTTCGAAACCCGCAGCAGCTCCGCGGGAGAAAGACCGGGGGCTTTCTGATCCCATCCACACTCACAGTCTCGGAAGCCCCCAGGGGGCGTCACGGGGAGTGAACCTCACCTGCCAACACCCCCCCACAAAGTAGAATAAAAAACAAATTTAAAAATCAACTACTAATCCCCTTACTGTCTCTATAGAGTTTCCTATCCTGGATTTCATATAGGGGGAAAATTTACCAAAAAAGCCTTAAATAATAAAATACAAATAATAAGAAAAAGCACAAACTCACAGCCACCGAGAAGATGCTGACTCACAGCGACCCTACAGGACAGGGTAGAACTGCCACTGTGAGTTTCCAAGATGAACTCTATTTTTAAATTTTTTTTAACATCATTTTATGGGGGGCTCTGACAGTTTTTATAACAATCCGTACATCAGTTGCATCAAGCATATCTGTACACATGTTGTCATCATCTTTTTGCAAACATTTGCTTTCTATTTGACCCCTTGGTATCAGCTCCTCTTTTTCCCTCCCCTCCCTCCTGCTCCCACCCTCTTGATTAGTTCTTCATGGGAGTCGACAGCCTCCTCTGTCTCCCTCGGATCGGCTAGTGGTTTCAAACTGCTGATGACAAGATAAAACGCAGAGAAACCTCAGCTGAAACAATAACAGACCATGGACACCTGGAATAACTTTAAGGATGGATCGAAAGGGGAAACGTGATAAGGTGTGCCATGTTCACCTGACTTCGTCCGCCGTCATCCACTTTACAGTGTCCTCTGTCTGACAGCGCGGTTTCCCAGGCTGCACCGTGGTCAGAAGGCGTTGACCAGGGACTTCATCCCTGTGGATGGACCTTGGCCTGGTGCGATGGCCATTGTTTGCAGGGCCAGTGGGTGGATGGGAGACTTCTGTTTGCCGTGTTATCTCTGAGCATGTCCAGTGTGTGTGCCCCAGCGGGGAGGAGGTCTTCAAACCCATAC